GCAATCTTGTGTGTGTGTATACGTCTGGAATACCTAGATACAGGGTTGGAATTCCTAGAGAATAGAAAAAATAGGGGGGTAAAACAAATCCCAAAGACTTAACAAGTGTATAAAACCATCAACTCATAAGAGCCCATGGAAGAATACATCTGTATTACATTTTCATCACAGGAGAAAACTATAGGCTGTTTTACTCTTGAATCTAGTTATTCAGTACTAACATAAAGAGCAAATTTGTAATCAGTTGATCATGTATAACAAAGAACTGGAAGAACAGCTACCAGAGTTCTGACATGGAGATCTGTTCTGGATCCTTAACAGGACACTGAACCTTATTAATGTCACTTATATGACTACAGAGACAGTTTTATTTGGTTGTTCTGAAAAGTATTTGGAGTTGAATTTGATTGGAAAGAGAATTACACTTTCTTTGTGATTTCAGTTAAAAGGCTCTGTTGCTATAAAACTTTGTTTTGCTCCTCAAACATGGATTTCTTTTTTCACAAGTTTGTAGGTGTCTTCTGCTGCAAACATGAACTATTGAAAAATGCCATAGAGCTTTTTAGCATCACACTCCTGGCTCATTCAGAATCTGGGTACATTTTAGAGATACTGCTAGCTTATCTCCACTTTCAGACTTATACATCATTTAATTTTCATCTAAATTGTCCCTTTATTGAAAACACATATTATTTTAATTGCATCATTATCTAGTTAAGGTAACTAACAAAGTGCAACAAAAGAAACATGGAATGAAGTTTCCTCAGACATCAGTTGGATCTGTGTAAGAACTTTTAAGGCCAGTGATATAGGGAAAAGGACACAAAGAAGAAGCTGTTGGCATGTGAGGATTGAATAAAACTGAGCTAATACAAACCAGAATACATGCTTGCTAAGGTCTGTAGTAAAAGTATCTAAACCTGGGTGTTGGGAGCAATCATATATGCCAGGTAGCTTACAGCACAGAAAGCACAAGAAATAGAGGACTCTGTATTGTCTGCTACATGTGGACTTGCAGTTCTTACTGCTTGTGCTGCCATTGTGTTGTTTCTCACTGCTTCATTTTGTTCTTTAAATCCAACTCCAACCTGTCCCTATACTACTGCTGAAAGCTGTAGGTAGGGTGATAATTTCATAGCACTGGAAGTGATCACCTGTGAAATACAACAGGAACTGAGTTATCAGCTCCTTATGAATGTAACAGGAAGGAAAGACTTGCAGCAAATAGCATTCATTCTAGCGCTTCGTAAAATGTTGTGTCTTAGTATCAAAAGAGGATCCTAAGAATTCTGATGCATCACTTCTGATTAAAATGTCTTCAAGTTGTTAATTACATTTATCTGTATATAATTAAAACATAGTTGCATTTATTCTTGTAGATCAGTATTTGAGATCTAGATACATTACTCTGTATTTTTGTTCTGCTAAATTTTGTACTTTTCTCCTACAGGGTTTGCTTGACCACACACTTTGGGACTCAAGTCTTGAAATGCTTATTCTTCTAAACTCTGCCAACATCCATGTCTGCTGCCTCTTGATTGCTGGTGCCTTCCAGGCCTGCTTATTTGTGCTGTAGAGAGCAAAGGTTGCAGTAGATCGTACAGGTCTTCTTAATGTCATCTCCTTCTTCCTTCACAGCTCTTAATGAGCTTACAAAATGACCTAGGAGGTCAGACCAAAAGCCTATCCAGTTCACTCTCTGGCTGTCTGAAGATGTTATTTTAGAGAGAATGTGATCCATTTACCTCATACTCTCCAGCAGCCAGAACTACTGCATTAAAGATAGTAAACAGTGGATGATTGCCCCTCCTTTAGTTTCTTGTGGAACTGTGAATGAATTTTGACTGTATTCGGAACCTGCTGATATTATGTAGCTCCACAGCCTCCTGTGATGGAGAATTTGCAAAGCAGTAAGGATGTACTTCCTTTTACTTAATTTAAATCAGCTGCACACTGGTTCTAATATTGTAGGAGTTGGTGAATGTTTTGTATTCAACTTAACTCAAGTGTTTAAAACCTTGCAAGCCACTACCATAGTCACTCCTCAGCTTTTTCTTTTCCAAGTGATGAGTTCCAGTGTTCTTAATGTTCCTTCATAAGGAGTGTCTTTATCTCTCTGATCAATTCCCAGTGCATTTTACGTACCTTGAACTGTCTTTGAGATGCATAGGTCAGAACTACTTGCAGCACTCACTCAACAGGAGTACACGAAGAATTTGTGTACTTGCAAAATACTGCTCTCTCTCCTGTTACCTGTGCCCCTACAGATGATGCCAAACATCTTTTCTTTGGCCTGTCCAGGTGTGTGAGCTTAAATTCCCCTTTACACAAGTCTTAAACCTTTCTCAGCTGACCATGTTTACCCTTGTTCTAAGAAAACGTACTCTTTATTGCAGACTTAACCATCCTCTCAGAACTGTAGCTCAGTCCTCCCTCTAGACTCTCCTTTTTGCAGATGACAGCTGTGTTGGCAGTTAATCAGTCCTCCGATACAGAGGCAGTCTGTAATTATAGGTGAAGGCACCTAGCTCAGCAGTTCTGCAACCTCACATCTGATTTCCTTCAGAGCTCTTTGATAAGTGCCATTTGGTTCTGAGATCTTACCAGCATCTATTTAAAGTAGTTACACAGTAGGTGCTAGACAACTTTGATCTAGATATTTTTTGCCTAGCTGCTGCAGTGAATTTGGCTTTTCTGTCACAGTCTTTATCAGTGGGTGCCCCTTCTTAAACCTTTGTCATCAGCTCTCTTACTAGCTCCCTACCTGGTCCCCTGATTTTGATGTATTTAAAGAATTCTGTGCTACCATGCTACCATGATGAGCATCATCTTCAGACTATTTTTTTAGACCTGTTACATTTACAGTTGACTCATGATGTGCTGTGAGTTTTCCTGTTCCTCTTGCCAGCATTCAAAACACACAGTTCTTTCCAAGTAACTTTCCTGTAGAGCCACTTAAGTATTTTTGATCTGTGGCACGTTTTACCTGGGCTTCTAATACAGTATTTAACAGCCTCTAGGCTGTTTGTAGGCATTTGCTATTTGGACTGCTTGGTTTTTCATTGTTTGTTGTGGGGTTTTTTTTGTTTATTAACTGCCTTTATTTCTACATTGCTGCAGCTTATTAGTTCCAATTTCACTTAGACTGTCCTCTCTAGCAACAGTATTAACCCTATGTATTTTAGCTGCTGTTACAGAGTAGCTCTCTCATTAATACCTATTATGCTAGGCACTACTCAAGCTGCTACTTTTGATTTGGTTATTATTTGAGATCTAGTTGTTCCAGGAGGCAGTCATGTTTCACTAGAAACAACTCATCACAAGCCGCAATACTTAATCTCATTAGGATGTGATTGTGAGTTCTCTCGGTATTACTGCCTGTCTGAAGCTTGCAGTTTCTCTGTTCTCACTTCCTGATTGCTATTGTCATCTTGATCAGAGGTCACTAGCACAGTTCTAATTCTTTTTTACTTTTATTTTTTTATTTTTATTTTTTTATTAGGTCAGTGCAGACTTCCAGCTATGGAGTCCTACTGCAATGCTGCTTTTTTGCTGTAAGGTATCTGTGCTGTTGCACTTTATGTAATCTTTCACATATGGTGCCACTATGACACCTGCATATTCTGCTGTGCCGTTCACGTCAATAGCCTTGTGACAGTATCCTACAAATTATTTTTCTCCACTAGGTCTCAGAATGTCTGTTACACAATGGCTGTTGTTTAATGCAACACATTCTATTTCCTCCATCCATTACTCAAGCTTCTAGCATCAGCATAAAACTCTTGCAAATTCTGTCCTAGCTTCACCACACTGGCCAGTCAACTGGCATTGTGGGCAGTCTGATTAGCCTTCCCTACAAAACCCTACACAATGTGATCTGCCTTCCTAGCTAACCCAATGCACATCTGAAAAGACCTTATCCCCCTTTACAGTCTCTATCAGTCTCTGCATCAGGACTTTTGAGTTTGTCAGCTTTCCCTCAGCTTCTAGTTTAAATACTGCTCTACAACTTTGCAGCACTTACATATCATCAGTCTTGCTCAGTTTTTCTGTAAGATAAAATTTGCCCTTCCTGTTTTGTTTTTTTTCTCTCCATAAACATTTCCCAGTTCTTAACACTGCTATTTTCTAGAGAACAAACAGCTAGAGCATTAGAAGAAGTGAGTTTTGTAAAGTCTTGTCAATCTTATCTTCATATTTAGAGGCATTCCTATATCGTGAATGAAGAAATTCCAAATTTATTTAAATCCTGGAATGCCAGCAGCAGAGAACTGATACTTGGAGAAGTACCAATACAGAGGAAAAGAAGGAGGTCTGAGGCAGAATCATGTGGTTCTTCTAGTTTCTTGAGCCAGAGAGAATACACTATGTAGCCATATGAAAAGTTTTATGAGCAATTCATACAATATGAGATGTAAGCAGCAACAAAAATGGCATTTTTATATGGAATTACAAATTCCTACATAAGTTTTTCACAAAGCTGGGTGAACATTGAAAAATGGTACAAAATATTGTTGCCCCCATCCTCCCATTTTGCCACTGCAGAGTCAACTTAAAAGGATCTGATTTCTGACTGATCTAAGCCTTCTTGTCTTCAAGATTCCACAAAACATTTCAAATTACATTCTTTGTCATGAAAAAGAGATGAACCAGCAAGGTATATACTCTGAAAACTGCTTAGCCATGAAAATAAGAAATTCAGGATGAAAATATGAAAATACAATTTTATATTAATTGCTTAACACTGAGGTGATCAGAAACTGTATATGCATATACTGTTTGACAGCAAACTGGTGACAAGGTGCCATGTAATCATTAAATTATAGTTTCCATGCTGTTATTCCTCTTAACAGTAGCTGAAGAACTGATGATATTTTGTTCAGTTCTAAAACATCTCAAAACCTTGTAACAAACTTCAGGTGAAGTATACCCTTTCATTTAATGGGATTTCATTTCAAGGGTTCATGAATTAAAGTTAATAAGGAAACCTGAAACAGAAGCCCATAATAATGAAATTTATTTAAATTCTTGACCACACTATATTCATAACTTCTTAGCACTTTCAAATGAGGTGTTTACTGTATGTTTCTATAAATTACATATTCATTGCATAAAACTGCACTCATTTATCTATCAGGATACTATATAAATTATCACAAAAACAGATGAACCAACAAAAGATTCTTGAATACACGTAACATTGGTGGGCAGATATCAGTAACAGCTTATCTTCATGGTAAGTAGCTCTAAATGAATCTCTCCTGAATTCATTTAATTAAGAAGCTGGAAAGAAAGAAAACATGATTAAATACTGAAAAATGCATACAAAAGAGCAACACAATTATTTGAAAATAATAAACAAAGACTTAAAAACATGAATTTGAAAATAATTTGTCTAGGAAGTTTTTATATTCCATTTACTAATAACTAAATAAGAATAAAAGATACAAAACCTGAGTAACTGAAAGTTCAATTTTACTATTAAAAAATATATTATCAAATGTACTTCAAACATATGGTCTCTTTTAATCAAGTTCTGCATCTGCTCTTACTACTTAAAGTGAGAACTACCTCTCCCAGGACATTTCAGATTTATTTATAACATTTTACTTTTACTGTTGAAGTGGTCCCAGACCACTTGGCAATAGAGAACTTGGCAAGGTTCTGTAGGTTTACAGATGCTTAAATTCTTAATATTTTAATAAATGAAGTTTCAGATGATACTGCTGTTTCTTTACCCCTGGAATAAAACTTGGTATTTTTAAAAGTAGATATATTTCGTTCATCATACCTTTCTAACTACTTTACCAAAGAACATATATCTCATAAATAGGGAAGTGGGAACACAGAACGACTTGGGCATGACTATAGGCTGAGTTAGTTGTAAAAAGACAAAGGCAATGAACTAGTGAATGGAGGGGTTTCTTCACTAGGTTTGCATGGAAGATCTTTCTTCCCTTCACAGATATGCTATGTGCTCTAGCATATCCACTGTAGTAATTTCATCAGTTTTCCATTCATGGCATAATTAATTAATCATTATAAAACATAAATACACGTGCCACAAGCTTAAAAGACTGTATCAGTACGAAGATGTTCCCTGCTGCAAAAAGCTGACAAGCTTATTAGGCAAGACATACAAATCAATGCAAAACAGATGGCAACTGGCTGGGTGCTGGAGGGTGAAGTGATTATTGAAAGGGAAAAGCTGGCAAGAACAATCGCACAAAGAGGTGAATTGCTGGGTGCTGAGCACAAAGTAAGAGAATCCTGAGCATATGAGACTAAAAGGATAACCCAGATCTGGGCTAGGTGTTTGAGGCCATTTATGGGAAAGGAACTGAGAGGAGAAGAGAAAGAAATACTAGTAATTAAAAAGTTTGGAGGGTAGAGTGTGAAGGGCTGAAGATTACAATAATCAGGCAGGTAGCATTCATAGGCTCAGGATAGGTAAAAGACTGAATGATATAGAACCATAAAGAAATACAAATATGCCAGTGTCATTTGGATGAATACGATACTACCATAGTTATTGGTCCTTAATTTCTATCTTACTTTTTTCTTTAGCATCTAAGAGACATGAGAAAGAATATGGATAGGGTAAACACTGAAAGTTATATGGAAGTTATAAAACCTGCTTAAGAAGCTAGATAAATGATAAAGGAAAAAGCCTAATGTGGAAAACCACAAAAAGCAGAAACTCTGTAAAAAAAAATAATAGCCCAATAGGAGGCGGCAGGAGGGGCAGATTTTTTCTGAAAAATCTAGGCTAACAAGTTGGGTAACATCTGTTGGGGTATATCTGCAAAAACATAAAAGAGACCATGTCCCCTTATGCAAAGCAGGGGAAAGCAGAACAAGAAAGGCTGATCAAACTGTGCCCTTCCAGACATTAACTAGCTGGTAACAGGAAGAATAGGTAGGAGTGAATGGTAAACTATAAGACTTACAAGAAAGCCGCAGAAGCAGTAAGAGGCATTCTTAATGGTGGTAAATCACAGAAGGAAGATTCCAATCATAGAAGAGCTCACAAATTGTCTGCCTCAGGAAGCATCACACACTTAAGAGATCTGCTATGGGGCTAGACACCTGGAATTCAATCTCCCATTCCCTGAAGAACTAGAAAGCAGCACTGAACATGGACATTTCACATAGAGAGGAATGTGGAGATCTGTGGATATTCAGCAATTCAGCATGCTGTTGCATGGTTTAGATGGACAGAGGAGACTGTGCTGCATTGCCTTTCATTTCAATGGGCAGCTTCTTTACTGAAGAACACTCTGTCTGGCCACATTAAGAGAAGTAGTACGGAAAATACGAAATATAAGATGGTCTGTTTTGACAACTCTGTCCTACTGTTTCCTTGTCTTTTAAAATAATCCTGATTTCTGCCATTTTGAAGAAAGTAGCCTATTTTGCTAAGCACTGTAGATCTGAATATGAATCTTAGTTTTTATAGGAAGTAGATTTACCACTTCATAAACTTTAGGTAAATCAATTTAATTATGCATGAAATCAACACGGAACATCAGAACAGTTGTTAGTAGTGCTCACATTTATTAATAAATTTGATTTTATATGTCTGCAAATACTATTTGTTCTAGTTGCTAATATTTTACCAGTATATTTCCAAGAAATAACTATTCCATTTTATTCACATGGATTTAATTCAAATTGCTCATTATTATACATATTTTCTTTACCAAAACTAATTTAATTACAATGAGAGTAGACATTTGTTATATAGTTGATAGGGAATCTGAGGAATTTTTCAAGCTCTGGGGTATCTTTCAATTCATCTGTTCTTGTTGCACTGTTTTTTTCTAAGTAATGAACAAATACTTCATGTCTGACTTAACATTCATGCTTTTTTGAAGAAAATAAGGCTTTTTTATTTATCATGCTTTCTTGCAGCTTAGTTAATTTTCTCTGCTAGTCAATACAGAATATGTATTTTCTATTCCACCAATGCACGGTCCGGAAGGCTGATTATTTTCTACGGTTTAACTAAAAAGTCTTCACTTTATGCTTTTAAATAATAGCCAAATACAATGGCTATAAAGGATAATATTATAATTAAATGCTTAACAGCAGGTACGAAAAATTCTTTAAAAAGCTATTTAATTAAAACTTACTTGAAAGCTTTTAATGTTTAGGTATTAATTTAATTTAAATTCAGATTAAAACAACAGCAAATGATAAAAAATAAGACTTAAAAGGACAACTGAAGTGTCAACAATAATGAAATTGTGCTAAAAATTTCATCCAGAAAACAAAGCAGAAAAGACAACACAGGGCAGTTAATAAGCTTCAGCCAAAGCCAAAAAAAAAGTAATCAAGAAACTTTTTTAACCTCAGTAAACAGTGGGTAAGACTTTTGTCTCTCTGTCCTCTTGAAGAAACCAGTGGTACAAATATTTTCATTGCCAATAATGCAATATTATGCTGGTGTACTGATGTCTTCTCTTTTGTCCTTATCATCCTTCCTTGTTCTTTTCATATTCTATGTGATTTTGGACTGAAACTGCCTAAAGGGAGGTTGCCAGAAAGCCCTCCAGACTCTCCCCTGACTAGCAAAGCTATCTTTGCCAGTTCATGCTTCTGGCTTACAGTTAAGAGTAGTCCTTCTGTCATTCCCAAGCATATAAGTTGACAGATAAAATTCTGTGTAGATACAATGAAATTTTATTGCTCAGTCACTGAGCTTCTGATACTTAATCTATGACTTATTCATTTCAAATACTGGGGTGAGAAGTCTTCCAAAAAAGGTTCTCTCAGCTATATCAACACTCTTGTCATACCCAGAAGGCATTACAAAGGCAAAAATGTTCAACAGTGTAAAATTATTGCATTATCTTTCCACAGTTATTGACAACAATTAAAATGAAAGTTTTAGCAAAATGAAAAATTTCATCTAGTTCTCACAAAAAAGGTGGGTTGGTATAGGCATGAAAAAGCTCTGTCATGGCAAAAATGGCTCTAGCAAAGAGATTTATTACAGGCTAGTTCATCTGTCACAATTTTGTTCATTCAGCAAGTAACTTTATGATGACCTCCATTTTGCATCATCTCTGCGATTCCAACACTTTATTTTATAAGGATATTTTACTAGCTTTTTAACTAAACCATGTGTTTTTTTTTTTTCCCCCAACCCTGACCTTCAAGAAGAAAATTCTGTGGAAAGAAGAATCAAAAAACTTTACTGGAAAATGTCTGAAATTGATGAAAAAAAAGGTAAACAAAACGTTACTCTCCCTTCCTATATAGATGCCTTCTAAAGAGCATACCTAGAGACCTGTGCTCTTCTGGAGCACTCCACTGGAAACTTTTCTGTTTGTCACAGGAATTAACAATGACAATGGCATTACCAAGGTCAAAGAAATAACAGCATTCCCAGTACTTTTCTTTATGCACATTAGAAAAGGAAATAAGTTTTTCTCTAATTTTTGACTCCTGCTTTACATTTATTCACCTCTGGTTTTGATTTATCTTCACTACATGGAGGTCAATTGAGAGAAAGAGGATGCACAGCAGGTTGTGTTATTGTTTTACTTTTTATGGATTCATGCTGCTTCACACAGGACTTATTTCATTGTTCAGTGCCAGAGAACACAAACAATTTAGTATATTTGACTTTTTTTTCCAGTTGGACAGTGAAGTTGATGCTTGAGATCATGCACATAGCATTAAAACAATTCCACTTTTCTTTAACTGTTGCTTTAGGCACATCAACATAAACATTCTTTCTTTTTTCTGACACATCATTAGCAGGCATTGTTGTTAGTAGGCAAAGCTTTACTAGCCTGAGGACAATTTATCACATAAAGACTGATAGTTTCAAGGTGAAATCTACAACCACTGAAAGTAAAAAGACAGACATATTCAACATTTTAATACATATCTACACTGAAATAAATTCATAGGACAAGAAATTCCTAGGAAGATACTAAGGAATTCAGCAAAAAGCATGAATGTGTATCAGCATATATGACTGAAGTTAAAATGCAGGTTATTAAATTAAAGGGGGAAAGAGAAAATAAAGGAATTTATATACTTGGTCCACCTTAGTGTTTTGCATGTTCACTTCATTAGAACTCACAAGAACTATGCACATGAACTAAAGAGGCTTCTCTTAAGAAACACTATGGATTTGTCATGAAGATGACATGGTTGAGATCGCTGAAGTGTCAAAGAATCAACCGTACGTTAATTTTTAAAACAGCAACAGAAAATGGGGTCAGAGCTTCCCAAAGATCTACCTGAAAGATTTCACACTGGAAAGGACCAGCTAAATAAACTAGCATGTGAAATCTGATAATAGCAAAGGATCAATTCTAGTGATGGTTTCCAGTAATTCTGCATTAAGTGAGGATTTAAAATTGAAGGATTAATTTATTCCCATGAAAACATGAAGAATCTAGGATAGTCCAAGTAAGACTGTAAGATCTCAATTCTGCAGAAGCAGTAACATTATAAAAAAAAACCACAAAGAAAACTGGCTAGCACTTAGATAGCTATCAAATACTTTCCATGTACTTCTGCATCCACAGGGTTCATTGTCTTATGAATATGCTTGATGTGTGTTACTCATTGGTAAACTGTCATGTTGAATCTACTTAACTTCTTAAGACAGAATTTGGTTTATGGTTTTATAATTTCTTCATAGAAACACAATGAAGCAGCACTATCTCACTGTAACAGGATTGTGATGAATCATTCTCTTTAACACTATATTGGATTTCTTTTATGCCTTTAGTCACCTGCTTTAACATACAAACAGGTGCACTTATTTATTTTCCATACACTGCATATGAAACTAAACTTCTTAAATGTAAACTTTTAATAGAATTCATAAGTTTTCTTTCTCTCCCCCCTGCTGCTGATTCTTGATGTATTTTATTCTTAGCTTGGATACTAAAAGAGGAGTACAAAATCTACATGGGCTTCAACTTCTGCTAGACACCACAAAGAAAACGTGTCTCATGTTTCAGTAAATGCAGGCTCAATTTTGAGGAAAAAAAATAAATCACAAAATAAATCCACACCACCCAAAATTTACAGCAAGAAAAGAGGGAAACCCCCTACATTACATGATAGTACAAGATATGTAGTAGATCTGAGCAATTAGGTCTGCAATAACATTTAAGCACTTAATGGGAAGTAAAAATACCTCACACTTAGGAAAACTGGATTCTGTTTTTCATCCCAAGTCAGTCAAGTTAGAAGGTAAGACTCTAGAGAGGATGCTGATAGGCTCTACAGACTATCTCAGAAGGCAGACTACTGACACCATACTGATGAAATCTTGAAATATGATCCTATTGGGCCCTTTAAAGACCTCTTAGTAGAAACGAGTAAAAATCAAGAGCATGCTTTCTGTGCATATTGCAAGGGGAAGAGTTTCCTTGTTTTGAGTATAATGTTATTAAATGCTAAAAGTAATCTGAGATGACCTGAAGTTAATGACAATTAATCTGCATGAAAAGACCAAGCTCAGTAAATAAGAAAATTGTTCTAAACACTAACAGTTAAAATCAACAGGGAAAAAATAAAGTATTAGCTCAAACTGGCTTTACAAGGCTGAATCCTTACTAATAGAACACAACATAAATCTGGCTGCTGCACTGATCACAAAATGTAGTCATAGAAATCAACACTAAGAAATATCTGAGAAAAACTGTAGAAGTAATCCCTCAATGATTCTTTAACAGCGGCTGTGAAAACAATAGAACTTTGAACACTAAAAGCTACAGTTCTTTTGTTTTCTATGTCAAAATATTACTTTCCTAATCTGTTGTACTAATGTTTTCCTTACATATATAGAGCTGACATTTCATCATGCCAAGATCTTTCAGCAAATTGTTACTGGACCTACTTTGTCACACACGTCATCCACTTGCTCTTCCATACAAAGAATAGTCATATAGACTAATATTCTGTGAAGGATTAGTCTCCTAGTTTATACAAACCAATTTCACTGGAAATAAGGAAAATCTAATATTTTTTTTAATGCATTGGTGCCAACTTGAGGGAAGAAAACAGCACTCATGTATACTATCTTTATTGTAAAGCCTAGTATAGCATGTTAAGACTATGTCAACTATAAACACATATTTATATACATACGTGTGTATATATATCTCTACAGGAATGAAAAGATTAAAAGGAGCAAAGACTGAAGCAATGGAAAGAAGAGCACACTTTGAAGTAGGATTAGAAGCCAATGGAACATAATTGCTAATACTGGAGAATAGAATAACAGGAAAAGGACTCTTCCTCATTAAATATATTTAGCCATCCTGCAAAATAAAGCTTTGGGAGAGAAAAATCAACAGGTCTCCGTTTTGTCTCACAAATTTGATGACTCAGGAAATGTCACTGCTTTTATTTCAGTAGCCTGGTCTATCATTACCAGATCACTGAAGATTTGCTTAATTGCAGCTTTCCTTTTCTTTTCTTCTACCTAAGTGTTTTCATGACAGGCTACTAAAAAAAATAATAGATCAACAAGAAGATGTAAATCAGAACTCTGTAGGTGACCTCCCAGCTCAAAGTATCCATGTACAAAAGGTAAGAACTGTATATTATGCTTGTTATACAAATTTTAAGTGTTTAATTGACAACTATACATAAAATTATGGAAGACTTTAACTCACTCTTTC